ATGGACGGCACACATTTGCGTGGCTCGTACAAGGGGAAGTTGCTCGTGGCCGTTGCACAGACTGCGAATAAGCGGCTATTGCCAATTGCCTATGCGATTGTCGATGAAGAGAGCCAGGAAAGCTGGTCATTTTTCCTGACAAATCTCCGGCAACATGTTGTCGGCGACAGACAGATATCCTTTCTTTCGGACAGGGATGCGGGCTTACAGAGTGCCGTGGAATCATTGGAAGCTTGGCAAGAACCCGCTGCATATCACCGGATTTGTCTTCGACACCTTCGGAGCAACGTGGTTACTAGGTACAGGAATAACAAAATCCGAAATTGGTGTTGGCAGTTGGGTTCACAGGTTTCAGAGAAAAAATTTGAACAGATACGATCGCGGCTTTTGGATTGTAATCCGGACGCATACGAGTACCTGTTCAGAATTCCTCTAGACAAGTGGACCCTGTTTGGAGACGGTGGACGTAGATGGGGTACTTTGACAACTAACATGTCCGAGGGTTACAACAACGTCCTGAAAGGTGTTAGGTTCTTGCCATGCCGAGCTTTGGTACACGCCACATTCATGAAAACTCTGGACTTGTTTGAGCAGGAACAGAAGAAGTCCACGAGATGCAGTAATGCCATTGCTAGTGTCCACTATGCCGCTTATTGCGAATTGGAGAGTACGGCCGCAACTCATACGGTGCGATGTTCGAACGCGGAGAGATCCCTGTACAAGGTGACAACCGGTCTACGGGCTGATGGTAGAGGCGACAAAAGGTATACGGTTTATTTATTTATTGTATAATTTTATTTTTTTTTTATTTTGGTTCATTCAAATTTTTAGTTGTTTATAAATATAATTAAATGTGGAAAAACAGGTATAAGGTTTCATACAACCGGATGCGTTGTAGTTGTCAGAAGTGGCAGACACACAGGAAACCATGCTCTCATGCTATAGTTGTGTGCCGTCAAATAAAAGGTCAACCAAGAACCTTGTACGATCCCCACTTTTGGACGGAGAATTGGGTGGCTAAATTTTCTAATTGGAGTTTTGCTCCGATTGGTGATCCGGACACATGGCCGATGGTCGGATGGACCTTACTACCACATTGGGAGAGGATTATCACGAAGGCTGGAGCCGGTCGCGCGCAGACGAAGCGTCATCGCATGCAAATGGATCGTCGGGCACGCCGCCGGGCTGATAGAGGACAGTGTAGTAGATGTGGTAATCCACAACATTTTGTGGATGACTGTCCGGCCTCGCATCCTCGCACTGATAGATCTAGACTCCGTGATGAGTGGGGAAACTAGATTTGTTAGTGTTTATTTTTTTTATGTTGGACTGTTTTTTTATTGTTTACTTTGATTTGTTGGACTGTGTTTGGATTAAATATTTTTGTTATGTTGGACTTTGAATGAGTTGATTTGTTTGTGTATTTTTGGTATAGTGGGTTGTTCTTAATATTTGTAACAGGTTTTAAATGGTTAAACAATAGAAATAACCAGTTTTTTTTATATATCAGGTGAAAACGTATTTAGTGAATACGTTTTTTAAAAAATAAATATTTACAAAACGGATTTGTTTAATACGTTTTCTATAAAAAATATTTAAACAACGTATTTGTTTAATAAGTTTTCTAAAAAATAATAAAATTAATTATTTAACATATAACATATAGTATATAATATATAGTATATAGTATATAACATATAGTATATAATATATAATATATAACATATAGTATATAGTATATAGTATATAGTATATAGTATATAGTATATAGTATATAGTATATAGTATATAGTATATAACATATAGTATATAATATATAACATATAGTATATAATATAATATATAGTATATAACATATAGTATATAATATATAGTATATAACATAGAGTATATAATATATAGAATATAATATATAATATATAACATATAGAATATAATATATAATATATAACATATAGTATATAATATATAACATATAGTATATAACATATAGTATATACATGTTATAGTTTATATCCTAGATGTTATAGTTTATAGTTTATATCTTATAGTTAATATCTTAGATGTTATAGTTTATAGTTTATATCATATATCTTATAGTTTATATCTTATATGTTATAGTATATATCTTATATGTTATATGTTATAGTATATATCTTAGATGTTATAGTTTATAGTTAATATCTTAGATGTTATAGTTTATATCTTATATCTTATATGTTATATGTTATAGTATATATCTTATATGTTATATGTTATAGTATATATCTTATATGTTATATCTTATAGTTTATATCTTATAGTTTATATGTCATAGTTTATATGTTATAGTATATATCTTATAGTTTATATGTTATAGTTTATATGTTATAGTATATATCTTATAGTTTATATCTTATAGTTTATATGTTATAGTATATATCTTATAGTTTATATTTTATATCTTATATGTTATATGTTATAGTATATATCTTATATGTTATATGTTATATCTTATAGTTTATATCTTATATGTTATATCTTATCTTATAGTTTATATCTTAGATGTTATATCTTATAGTTTATATCTTATATCTTATAGTTTATAATATAGAATATATACTATATGTTAGAAATTCTATACTATATGTTAATATATAGTATATGTTAAAATATATATATGTATATACAATATATTTAAAATACTATATACTTTACATAATCTAGTTGTTGAAGGATAAGAATAAATGTTGCGCAAAACATTCAGTGATGGCCTAGCGCGGCTCAATGGTAACGAGGCGCCCCCAGAGATAACGGACTCACTCGAACACCCGGGTTCGAGTCCCGAATCTGGGATCCTCTTACCATTTTTTACAAATAAACGCCCTTTTTTTTTGCTATATTTTACATTGAAACCGTATTTAGCAAATACGGTTTTTAAATAAATGAAAACAGTAACCGTATATGCTAAATACGTTCAGCGCTCTTGGCCGGAGTGTATCGAGCGATGTCAACCTCGTACAAGGCCAAGGAGAAGTGGCTGAAGAACTGCGTTCAATTGATCCAGGTAAGTTTATTTAATTGTTATTTGAAAATTTAATATTTTATTTTTTCTTACTTCGACTAATACCTAATACAAAAATTAATATCCATTTGTGTAGGTTTGGGCATGGGAGCATATCCCTCGTATTCGCCCAATAGTGAAGACCAGTGTGTTTGATAATCTGCCTGGTTGTCCATTGGGAGCGAGGTAATCACCGTTATTTTTATTTAATCCGTACATTTTTTCCATTATCAAATTTTGTGATTACAAACTTTTTTTTCTCTCTAATTTTTTTAAGGTGGAAGGGACCGAAAAAGAGGTCCAACATAGCCATGACATTGGCCGCTTACCGGGATCAGTTGACAGGGCTGGGAGAGTATGATGTAATATTCTTAATTCCTATTACTTGATTTATCTTTCTTTTTTTGTTTCTAATTTTGTAATAACTTAATTACTAATTCAATTGTTATTTTTTTACAGTTCGAATGGCAGCCCTATCAACAACACCTGCAGAATGATACTCTCCCGGAGGCGTGCTCAAGAGATCCACAAATATGGACGTACCGGGGGTGGATTTTCAGTTGGAACACCCGGGAGGTACACCTGCCTGACAGGGTCCTCCGTCAATTTGGGTGTCGCCAGTCCATCCCCCACGATCCGATCATTCTGGATGAGCGCGACTGGGACACACACCATAAGGGTCAGGGGATGACTGGGAGGGCGTTTTATGATTGGGCTGCATTCCATGTGCCGTTTCTGAGGTCGTGGACAGAAGAAATAGAACAACGTCTCCTCCCAGTTGCCCCCGTGCACGACTATCCACAGCCAGAGCAGGGTTACCTTCAATGGTTTCACAGCAGGACTGTGCGATTCATCAATAACCCTGCCAATTACCCGGTGTTCCAGCAGGCGGGCGGGTATCAGCCACTTGCCGAGCGGTTAGGCTGTCAGGTAATAGGATTTATTTGTGTTTATTATTATTATTATTATTTTTTTTTTGCGTTTCGTATTAATTATTATGAATTTTATTTACAGACTTCTGCACTACAAGGGGTTTATGGCGCATTATCCGACATTCAACCATTAATGCCTCAAATCCCTCCAGAAGCGCAGACCGGCTTCCAACAGTCGTACAACTTTGCCTAGTCTTCTATGACTGTTGGGGGCCAGGGTGTTCCACATGGGGGGCCGTCTAGTCAAGTTTTCTCCCAGGACGAATACGTTCCCCCCATGAGGACACAGTCACACACGGCCAGGCATCAACCCGCCCCCAACATTGGTGGGGGTAGAAGAGCTCGGGCCCGTCCCCGCGCTCAGCCGTCCGCCAGCACCTCCAACCTGAGCAGCCCGAGCCTCAACAAGGTGAGATTTTTAAATTAGCATTTTTTTTTTTATAGTTCAATTTATAATTTCTTTTTTCAATCGAATTACTCAGATGAAGAAGAGGAGGATGAGCAGGTTTTTCAAACTGACACGCTTCTCACACCTCAACCTTCGTCTTCTTCTCACGTGGTATATACTCGAAGGGGGTCCAGACCGTGCAAACCTACACAACCGTTCACTCCTTCCTAGTTAGTTGTGTTGAATTTGTAGATTTTGTGTTTATTTTGAATTGTTGGATTGTCTGTATAAACCGAATTATATCGTTTTGTATATATTGTTTGTTCGGCAAATTATTGTGTTTCAATTTTTTGTTCGGCAAATTATGGTATGATGGATTTGGTTGTGAGCAGGTATATTTTTTTGTTGTGAACAGGTGTATTTTTTTGATGTAAACAGGTGCATTTGATGGTGAACAGGATTTTGTATAAAAACGTATTTCATTAATACATTTTCTATTTTTTTTAATACGAAAAACGTATTTCGTAAATACGTTTTATGTTGAAATTAAAATTAGGGCAAAGAAATTCAATTTGGGGCAAAATTATAAAGTAAAACGTATTTAGCAAATACGTTTTATATTCTAAAACTTTTTATCCCAAAAAAATTATTTTCGCGAAATGAGAAAATTGATTTTATTTATAAAACGCATTTCTTAAATACGTTTTATGATTAAAAAAATAATATTAAATTAATTTTAATATAAAAACGTATTTATTTAATACGTATTGCTGTTTTTGAATATAAAACGTATTCAGCAAATACGTTTTGCTATAGGTTAATTACGTTGATTACGATAATTAACTTTAATAAATTTTGTTTACAGACAACGTATTCACTAAATACGTTTTATAAATGAAACCGTATTTAGCAAATACGGCTTACAATAGAAAACGTATTCAGCGAATACGGGTGTTCTATTTTGGTCCACTAGATTTTTTTTTCTTTCTTTTTTGTCCAGTTCATTTTTTGTTTTTTTTTTTAAGTAAATAAATCAACACTTTTATTCCTAAAAAATTAGGAATATATAAGAAAAAGAGAGGTCAATAAATCTTTTTGGAAAAGTTTTAAAAAATTCGTGGTCAACCATATTGACTTACTCATTTTGGCAAGCCTTTAACGCGTGGAATTCAAAATTTTGATACAAATTCACGTGAGCAATTTTTTTGCAATTTTTGATACAAATTCACGTGGCATATTTTTAGGTTGATTTCGAATTAATTGCTATCAAAATCTTCTAATTTATCTCTATTAGTTATGCAACCGCGTTTAAAAAGGTTTTACCCTTATTTAACAGATTCTTATCAGTTGGTTATATGCTAACAATATCCTCCCACAATTTCGGTAGAGATAAACATGTACAGTGTATAAAAGGTAGTCATTGATACCCTTTTTAATTCACATCATCAAACGCGCAACACACTCATAATACAAAAATAAAAGAAAACATCATGACACCATATTTTGAAAACATTCACGCCGTCAACATATCCAACAAGCCTTTTTTGAGGTTGAGAGTAATCCGTTTGATTGAAACTCATGACGATCTGGAGCATCGGAATGCTATTCATATCATGTTTCATGATCAACAGGTAATTAATCGAATTGTTTTATTAATACATAACTACATGTAAAACTACTATTAGTTTCATATCATGTGTCAATATTTTTTTTAATTTATATTAATTACAAATTGTAGGGTTCATACATCACTGGAGTAGCGCGTTCGCTGATCGTGGGATTATATAGAGATCGCCTTAAAGAGGGCGATGTGTACTTAATTCGCAATTATAATGTTGAATATAATAGGGGGAGGTACAATGCAATAACCCACCATTGGAAGCTTGTGCTTAATGGAAGAGCTGATGTATGCAAGTACAATGCGCATTTTCCTCAACACTAGCGAGTGACAGATGCGGCATGGATTATGTTATGATTTGATTATAATTAATTTTATTATCTTTAGATTCTGGTAATAATTTTAGTAATTGTCATTTTCATTAATTGACATTTTCAATGCCCGACATTTGTTGGGTTAATAATAAACCTTATGTTTAATATGTATTTTGATTTCAATTTCCCAATTATAGGGTTTGGTGAAATTTATTATGTTTAATTTATTCCGATTGTGAATCAATTTTTCGGCAATTTTGATTTCATTTTATTATGTTTTCTATCCTATAAAAATGTCGGGTAGATCTTTATTATACACTAATTATCAATATTGTAGTTGGATCTTAAAAAAAAGTAGATAATTTCCAATAAATTTTGTAATTAACAGTCCGAAACTTAATAAGACAACGAGTATGACAATAGATTGCTGTTGTAATATAATATACATTTTACTATCTTTTTTTTTCCGATAAATTTACACGCATGAAAAAAAAGGCCAAATAGTGAAATAATGCAATATAATCAAATTGAATAACAACCTTCATAATAATTTGTGTTTTGCATGAAAATTAAATATCATGACAACCAGATTTTATCGATATTACACTTTAATAAATTAATTGAACGGATTTTATGTATATTACACGTTATTTATATTACACTTATAAACCATTCGTAATTCAACTGATACAGGTGAAAGTTGATTGCTAAAATATCTCTTTCTTTTTAAATTAAATATTAAAATCAAATGTTTATTTTTGTAGAGGGGAAGTATATATGTAATGCGTCCATAAAAATTGGCATTCAAATCTCTTTAAGATTCTAAACGAATTTGGGAGACCTTAATAAGTAGGATTTCTCAATAAAAAGAGATTTACAAAAGATTTATATTATATTAGTTATTTCAATATGATTTTAAATCTATTACCACTTGGATTCGTCAATAATTTGCAAATACTATTACCACTTGGATTCCTCAATAAAATCTGATTTACAAATAATTTATGTTATATTAGTAATTTTATTTTTTGCAAATACTATTACCACTATAAATAAACAACCAAAAAACCAAAGCGCATTCAATAAACCCTCACACCATCGTGATAGTATTTGTATCGACTCTTAGAGATAAAAAAAAAAAAAATGGAACAATATGGCTTGATCAGACAGTTCAAATTGAATATGATGAATATGAGCTTCGTTCTTAAGCTTAGGGCCATTCGTGTATTCAATCGAGCCTACCCAAGCAATCTAGAAATAGTTTTCCACGATATAGAGGTTATTGTAGTGCATTAAATTTGTTTTGCAATTATTGATTAATTTTGTATCTCAATAACAATTTTTCTTCGTTTGTTAGGGGAGCCGTATAACCGGCATTGTTCGTGATATGCCTATATTCGCTGGAGGTTTTGAGGAGAGTGAAGTGTATTTAATAAGCAACTACCTACTAGACATCAACATTGAAAAATTCGATCTACTAATGGAGACTACAAAGTCGTAATCCATAAGGACACTGAAGTTCTTCACATGCTCTCTGATTTCCCTACATGGCCATTTGACTTCTATAGTTTTGCAAATTTTCATGATGCGGACATCGTTGATGACTCGATTCTTTATGGTAAAAATTTTAATTTGTGTTACTCGAATATTGTTATATATTTTTTTTTATTATTCATATATTACTTAATCAAATGATATTTTTTTAAAAAAAAATATATATTCTAGATGCTATGGTAAAAATTTTAATTTGTGTTGGACTCGAATTTTGTTATATTTTTAATTTTTATTATTCATATATTACTTAATCAAATGATATTTATTTTTTTTAAAATATATTGTAGATGCTATTGGCATGGTCGTCGAGGTGCAACCCATTCATTCAGAATGGATTCATGAAAAAGAAAAGCAAAAGATAATTTTTTCAATGATGGATTTGGAGATCCATCAATCTTTCTCGGCCTTTTGGACATCCATTCAATCTTTTTTCAACCCATTCAATCTTTCTCGGCCTTTTGGACATCCATTTTGTATAGACAAATAAAATTAACAATGTTAATACAAAAAACAAATTACTAATAGTAAGAATAAATTTTATAAACAAATGTCGATATATTATTATTGAGATTTATGGTCGAATCGAATAAATACATTCGAAATTTCGAACCTTGGTGTATTCATCAACCGTTGTTAAAGTTGTCATCCTATTTTCCATCAATTATTTCTTCAAGGCGGACCATGTGCTCGAAACAATATACAAAAACAAAAAAACACGTATTAGAACAACGAAAGTCGAACAAAAATTTAGTGAGAGACGAAAACATATAAAGTCGGATATTAAAATTAGAAAAAAAAATATGAGGGTACATATCTGAAAATGATCATATACAAATACTTATCTATATTGTACAAGTCAAATTGATAGTCGATTTAACAAAAAATAGTAAAAAAAAATAAAAATAAACCTTCGAATTGTTAGCGATGTGCTTCGTGCTCCTCAGATCTGGAATCCGATGGCCGATGAAGATCCCCGATTTGGTTTAATTATAAAGACCGGAACTTTGAATCCCAAAAAAAAAGAAATACAAAAACCCTCTAAACTCGACAGATTCGTATACATAAAAATCAGATATACAAAAACCCTCTAAACTCGACAGATTCGTATACATAAGAAACTCGACAGATTTGTATACATAGAAGAAGCTTAACTTTTCAACAGACACAGTGAAACCCGAAATAATTAAAAATTGCATGTTGATCTATGTATATGAACCGTGAAGCCTGACAAAATAGTGACAAATAACAACTTAAGCCCGAAAAAATCAAATCTTTCGACTGATCTATGTATATCAGACATAGATCCGTCGAAAATTTCCAATTAATCAGGGTCATTTGTAAAATTAGTAGCTGTTTCTATTTTTTTTTTCCGACAACCAAGAGTAGAGAGAGAAATGTCTAGAAGAAGACAATCGGTGCAAATGAGACCGAAATGGAAACCCTACAGACAATGTGGCGTTTTATATTCATGTCTAAACGATTTTAGCCGTCGGATTACACGTGTACTGATATTGGCCGTTGGATCATTATGTATTGGGCTAAATTTTCACAGGCAGAAATAGTGATAAAAAATTGGGCCTTTCACATTTAACAATTGGGCTCCTAATATCGGGCCATTTTTTTGACAAATTCACAGCCCAAACATTATATTAATTGGGCTTCAATTTTTGTTTTATTGGCCTGTTTTGTACTTACAATTTTGTGAATAAAAAAACTAATCTATCTCAATGTTTGAACACATTTTTATACTTTATTCAATTTACATATGTTGAATATTGTGTTGGCCCATTATATTATTTTTTTTATAATTTAGTACATAAATTAAGTTACTTTATTGTTTTATTTTATGTTATACTATTTGGAATGTGTATTTTTAATATAAATTTCTATTTCCATTCTTAATTAGCGATAGTTTCGTTAAAAATTAATCAATTTCGTTATGTTATTGTTCTTAATATTGTTGTATCTTGATTATGTACTTTCAAAAATTCAATTTTACAAATAAATTGAAAATAATGTTTTAGTCATGTTATTTTGAGTAGGTACTATGGATTCTTATATTTGCTCTGGAACAACTGTTACTAGACGTCAAATGATTATAGGATCCGGAAGTTCATCAAATGCTTCAAATCCTATGCCGTTCTCTGATATTACCAATGGTATTGTATTTATATTTTAGTTTATATATATAGATCAATATATTATGACCTTAAATTCTATGATATTTTAATGTGTACTTTTACATTAAATTTTAAATATACAGGCCAGCCTAACTTTCGTGAAAAAAGCTCGAATAATTCCAATATTATTGGATCCAAAAGCATTGTCGTAGACATTTCGAGTGACGACGAAAAGGAAAATACAGTTATTGCTCCTCCAATCCCGATTTCGTCGTCTAAGCGGTACAGAACATGTTCTGTAGCAAATGCGAGTGATGTTATCGATTTAACTCAAGATGATTCTATTCAACCCACTGTTGAAAAGAGAAAGGTGGTCTTCCTAGAAAGATTCTTGGATCAACCTCGAGATTATCTGGTTATTTTTTTCGAAATTAATATTAAAAATTATTATAGTCTTATTATAATGGAATATATAATAAAATTATTTAATTTATGTTTGTAGAATACTAGGACATGGGAGATGCAATATACTGCTGTAAACATTGCGGAGCAAAATTTTGGTACGAGGAAAGAAAATCTCATCGTCGGAAACCAGTTTGTCCAGAATATTCTGGTTGTTGTTTGAATGGATTAGTAGAGCTTCCATCAGCACGAGATCCTCCTCAATTTCTGAAAGATTTGCTTTATGGAGATGGCCACATGAGCAAACATTTTCAAGAAAATATATGATCTTACAACAACATGTTTGGTTTCACTTCAATGGGCGGTAAAATTGATGCGGATATCAATAAGGGGTCCGGACCGCCTGTTTTTGCTTTGCACGGACATTGGAAGTTTGTTGCCAACCGAAGGTTTTACTCCAAAGTTTGCGCAACTGTACATATATGATACTGAAAATGAAGTTTCCAACAGAATTAATGCTGTGAGGTATATTATTTTTGTTCATACACATTTATTTGCCTTTATTATGCCATTTATGTATTTATTTTATATATATGTATATATATATATATTACATAAAATGTTGAGATTTTTTTTTCTTCAATGACGGTTGTATTTTATTTATGCTGCAGGAAAGGATCTGATGATACAAAATTGCACGAGGGTATTGTTGCTGGTTTGAAGCAGATGCTAGACCAACATAATGAATTGGTTAAATCATTTCGTATGGCGAGAGACAGAATGCAGGAGCTAGGAGAGGCTAATGTTAGAGTTCGTCTGGTTAGACGGAGATATAACGATGCTAGACGGTATAACCTCCCAACCAGTTCTGAACTCGCTGTGTTGGTTGTTGGCGATTTTGACCAAGCCATGGGTGATAGAGACATATTGGTTGAAACCAAAAGTGGTCTTCTTAAGCGTATAAATGAGCTCAACGCTTCCTATCTGTCACTACAATATCCTCTATTATTGCCTTATGGTGAGGATGGTTACCGAGAAGACATACTCTTCGCTGAAGGAAAAAATCAACTGAAGAGGGTCGGAAACATGTCAGTGTCCGGGAGTATTTTGCTTTCAGGATGCATGATAGAGACTATGAACCGGCTACTATTGTTTCAGCAAGAAGACATTATCAACAGTTTATTGTTAATACATATACCATGGTCGAATCATCGAGGCTGCGATATACTCGGTTCAATCAAAAGAAACTTCGTTGTGAAATGTATAACGGTTTGGTCGATGCTGCTCTTCGTGGGGACACGGATGCCAGTTCCCGAGGGAAGAGGGTTATCGTTCCTTCTTCTTTCACGGGTGGTGCTCGAAATATGATTCAGAATTATCAAGATGCAATGGCTATTTGCAGATGGGCCGGTTATCCTGATCTGTTTATTACTTTCACATGCAATCCAAAATGGCCAGAGATTGTTCGATTTCTTGAACCGAGAAAGTTACGCCCAGAGAATCGACCGGATATTGTCTGTAGGGTCTTTAGATCAAAACTCAAAGAAATGATTAGGGATTTCCGTACGAAGGAGATATTTGGCAAGGTGATTGCAGGTGAGATATTATTTCATTGGAAATTATCTTAATACAATCATTGTGTCTAGACTTATTAATTTAACCTCTAACAATCTATGACTATTTCGAGTATTAATAATTTTGATATATCATTTCTTGTGCAGTCGTCTACACAATTGAGTTTTAAAAACGTGGATTGCCCCATGCTCATATACTTCTGTTTTTATCTAAGGATAACAAGTTCCCTAATCCTTCTGACATTGACAGAATCATATCCGCTGAGATACCAGATGAACTATCTGATCCTTTGTATTATGAAGCAGTAAATGAGCACATGATTCACGGGCCATGTGGTTTGGTACAAAAAGGTTCGCTGTGTATGGTTGATGGTAAATGCAGCAAGCGTTTTCCAAAATAGTTTGTCGAATCAACCACTGTTGATGATGAAGGTTATCCTCGGTATAGACGACGTGACGATGGGAGGTATATGGACAAAAATGGTGTTGTTGTCCACAATAGATATGTCGTGCCTCATAATCGTGGTCTTTTGATGAAATATGGAGCTCACATCAACGTGGAGTGGTGCAATCAATCACGATCAATAAAGTACCTCTTTAAATATGTCAACAAAGGGCACGATCGTGTGACGGCATCTTTCTATCAAACTTCAGCTGAGGGGGAAACTGAAAAACCTTTGGATGAGATCAACATGTACTATGATTGCAGGTACATTTCTTCATGTGAGGCTGCCTGGCGTTTGTTGGGTTATGAGTTGCAATACAAAAAACCTCCTGTTCAGCGGTTGAGTTTCCATTTGAAAGGAAAACATCAAGTTTATTTCGACGATGATGATAATCTTCAATATGTTCTCGATAAACCCTCTGTAGAGGATAACCAATTTCTTGCTTGGTTTGAGGCCAACAAAAAATATCCGGCAGCAAGGGAGCTAACTTATGTTGAGGCTCCGTCAATATTCGTTTGGAATAAAACAACCCGCGAGTGGACTCCTAGAAAAAATGAAGACCAACCATCTGTAGGTCGTCTGCGGTATGTACCTCTTGGTTGTGGAGATGATTTCTATTTGAGGTGTTTGTTAAATGTTGTCCGCGGTGCAACGTGTCACGAGGACTACATGAAGGTTGGAGAGACACAATATATTGCATATCGAGATGCTTGCTATGAAAGGGGTTTGTTGGAGGATGATAGAGAGTACATAGACGGCATCGCTGAAGCAAGTCAATGGGCATCCGCAACCTCTCTAAGAAGCATGTTCGCATCGTTGTTGGTTTCTGGTTCATTTGGTAGACCTGAGGAGGTATGGACAAGATGTTGGCAATCTTTGTCTGATGACATTCTTTACAGACAGCGGCGACTGTTCAACAATGATGGTATTTTATTATATTAGTGATATTATGATCTAAATATGATGTGCCTTTTATATTGATTTAGAAATTTATATTCTTTTCAAATGTTGTGATGCTGAATTATCTTTTTTGAAAATTTAGGTTTGTTGCTTACAGAAGAGCAAATTAAGAATCTAGCCCTTGCCGAGATTGAGTATTTATTGCGACGGCGCGGAGCAAGTCTTAGTGATTATTCTTCTATGCCCTTTTCTGATAGCGACAGTATGCAATCAAATTCAAATCGTCTGCTTTTGGATGAGTTGAACTACGATCTGAAGGCTCTTGCTGTTGAACATGCTATGCTTCTTGAAAAAATGACTGACGAGCAGAAAGGAGTCTACTCAACTATCATGTCGTCAGTGGATTCCGGTGAAGGCGGTGTTTTTTTTGTATATGGATATGGTGGAACGGGAAAAACATATTTGTGGAGAACGTTATCTGCTGGGTTGAGATCCAAAGGTGGTATAGTGCTGTGTGTCGCATCGAGCGGAATAGCATCACTTTTGTTGCCTGGTGAACGAACTGCTCATTCTCGATTTGGCATACCGTTGAATCCTCACCAAGACTCTTCTTGCAATATCAATCAGGGAAGCCCTCTCGCGGAATTGATAATACGTTTTTCTTTGATAATCTGGGGTGAGGCTCCAATGATGCACAAGCATTGCTTTGAAGCTGTACAGACATCGTTACAAGATATTATGGGAGCAGTTGATCCTTCTAACAAGTACAAACCATTTGGAGGCAAATCAGTTGTTTTTGGTGGAGATTTCCGACAAATTCTTCCTGTAATTCCGAAGGGTAGCCGTCAGGACATAGTGAATGCTGCGATTAATGCTTCTGACATCTGGAGAAGTTGTACTATGCTCAGGCTTACAAAAAATATGCGTCTATAGAGCCTTAAAGATTTCGAGGAACGTGAAGAGGTTGCTCGGTTTGCTGAATGGAATGCGAGCATTGGTGATGGAACTATAGGAGGGTCAAATGATGGTTGTGCAATGATTGACGTACCTGAGGATATATTGCTTCAGCTATATGATGATCCGATTGCTCAAATTGTAGAAAGCACGTATCCAATGTTTAAGCATACAACCAATGATCCCAGTTATTTGAAAGACAGAGCAATATTAGCACAGACGCTTGATGTTGTTGAGTCCGTCAATGAATACATGACATCCTTGAATTTATCAGAAGGTAATACGTACTTGAGCTCCGATAGTACTTGCAAGTCGGACTCTAATAGTGATTTTCTTTCTGAAATCCATACGCCCGAGTTCTTGAATAGCATCAAATGTTCGGGAATTCCAAATCATCAGTTGTATTTGAAGATTGGAACCCCTGTCATGTTGTTGCGGAATATGGATCATTCTATGGGTTTATGTAATGGGACACGGTTGGTTGTGACAAGACTATCTGCTCATGTTCTTGAGTGTAAGATACTCTCTGGGGATCACGAAGGAGAGAAGGTGTTGATTCCTAGAATGGCGATAACTCCTTCCGATGTTAGAATTCCTTTCAAGTTCCAGAGACGACAATTTCCCATTATGGTATTGTATGCCATGACTATCAACAAGAGCCAGGGACAATCGTTATCACATGTTGGTTTATTTCTTAAGAAGCCGGTGTTCAGTCATGGGCAATTATACGTTGCTGCCTCCCGTGTCACCACTCGAAGTGGGTTGAAGATAATAGTCTGTAATGACGATGACGTGTTGCCAAATCTGACCCAAAACATTGTGTACAAAGAAGTGTTTACTAATTTATGAAGTTATTAATTTGTTTTTCTCTATTTTACATTTGGTACATAACTACAAAGTGCATTAAATTTAATGTTAATATTTAAAAGTTTTCAGAAAAATATACCAGCCGTGCATCGCACGGGTCAGTACTAGTAGAGATGATTACCTATGAGACTAAAGAATAAAATATTTATATAGTGAATCGAATCCAGCTTGAGGTTTTCAAGCTCGATGTCAACTAATTTTAAATATGTTCATGTTCGTTCGTTTAATAATTGAATAAAAAATTTTGTTTGTATTCGTTTATTGGTTTGTCAAGTTCGTTATATAGTCGAACTTGTTCGTGAATTGTTGAACAAGTTCGTATTTGTTGATTTTTTTTATTTTTTCTTTTTTTCCCGAAACGATAGATAGTTTTATAAATCAAAATGCACAAATGTGCGAATACACAGCAGCCAACGGCTGAATACACAGCAGCCAACAACTGAAAAAGTGGGAGGACAGGTCAGAAGCCCGCCTAGAATCCCGACTAGCAACGCTAGAATAAAAAACACACTCACAACTAAACTAACCAACAACACAAACAACTAAAACAACTACAAAGACCCCAACAGGGTAATACCCGAGTGTCGGACCCCAACGGAGTAATAAGTTTGACACCTAGGCTCACAGAGGCCAAACGGCCCAAACCAAAGACACAACCTAAAGCACAAAGACAAACAGGAACACAAAAACAAAACAATAAACACGAATACGAAAATAAACTAGCAGCCCTTCCCCAGCGAACGAAGTAGCCCAGTCAGCAGTGAACGATCGACACGAGAAAGAGTCCAAGCCAAGAAGCTGCTACCGAAACTGCAAACCGCCTATACAGTAGAAGAAACCCAACCCCGGACCAATCCCCGAATCAACCCATCTTCAACCGAGAGAGCCGCGAACAACCCCCACACCGGCCCCACCCGAACTCATCTAACACCACTAGACGAGGACGAGAGAACCTAGTCCCCCGCCGCCTAACACCACTAGCCGAACGGAGGAGGGTGGGAGAGAAGCGGACCCTCAACCCCGACCACCGCAACAGGCTCGCCGCAGCCATCGGGGCCCCTCCCCACCCGAAGACGCTCGCCCCTTCAGACACCTCCGCAGACTTCCGACGACCAGAAGTCCAAGCCCCGCCAGAAGGAGCAACTCCCGACAAGTGCAGACAAAGGAAAAATCGAGGGACTTACCGCCACCAGTCAGAGCAACGCCGGCGACCAAGGGGAGAGCCTCAATAGCCGGCCAATCGTCGACCTGAAGGCACGCCACCACCGATCGAATCCCCATCCGCAACCAAGAGCCAGGACTCTAATCGTGGACAATCCACGAAGCTTCAGAGATGTGCAACGTCCGGGAGGGTAGGGCGGTCAAGGATGACCCCTGGCCGAGATTATTCCGTCACCAAGGAAGGCAAAATCGTCGAGAGTTGGAGACGGAGTTTGAAGGAATTTGGGGGAAGGGTTTTCTTCCTTATGAAATAGTTGTCATTTTAAAATTTCTATTTAAAATTACGGAACACGATTTTTTTTATTTTAATATCATCCAAGTTATTTTATTTAATATTTAATATATATCTATATTTATATATTGCATTATATATGTATATACTATACTATATATAATATAAAATTATAAAATACCTTTCTGTTCGCGAACGCTCGTTTAGTTTGTGAACTTTTTCGGGAACGCTCGTTTAGTTTGCGAACTTTTTCTTGTTTGTTCGATTAACTAAACGAGCATAATTTCATGTTAGCGTTCTGTTCGATCAACTAAACGAGCATAATTTCATGTTAGAGTTCTGTTCGATTACTAAACGAACGAGTTGTTATCGAACAAGAACGAGCTTTGTCCACGAACTATTCGGTTCGATAACAGTCCTAATATCTACTGATGTGTTAGTGTGTCAAATTGCAATGGGTAGGGTTGAACCAGCAAAATCCCTCGAACGCCTTTCTACCTCAAGCTGCAGTAACAATCTCTAATGCTAAAACCTGAAAGATTTTAGCAAAATCCTGAAAGTGTGTCAAATTGCCATGGGTCGGGTTGAACCAGCAAAATCCTGAAAGAAAAGTGAGAGATACGTACTGAATGTATGAATGTGCGATTAGAATACAACATAGAACGTGGTCACCCTTATATAATAGGGTGTGTTGGGGCCCAATGTTAGGGTATATTGTAAAAGCTCGGCTTTTGGTTTCTAACAATACCATTTTGAATGAGAATTGTGTTTTGATCAAGTATGTGTGTTTGCAGTTTATTTATTTATGCGGGCATAAGTTCCTTTATTTTACATTGTAGATAGTATGGTTCGATCTGTCGAACATATAGATCATATTATCAGTTCCTTGTAAAATATAAATTACTAATTCACAGCCTAGACAGAATTGAACAATCTATTGGTAAAAGTTGTAGTTTAATTTTGATTCAGTTGATCTTTGACTGATGAACTACACTAGTACTTCGTAAAGTATTGAATGGACCACGGAGGAGAAGATTATTTGAATACTGACCAAGTAAATAATCTAGACCTCAGTAATTGATGCGTTCTCTTAAGTCATAAGATAATAAACAGGCATATATACTCGTCGCTTATTTATTTGATTTACAAAGGGTGATTCATACTTTTAGTTAGGATGACATACTCGGAATTTTGGTAAATAATTATGCTTATATGATGTGCTGTTAAAATTATTTACGGTCACTATGTCCCGGTCCGCTGGGTTGATGATGTCCCCAGAATGAGCTCAAGAAAGATTTATTATGTTAAGCCCTACATGCGGATTGATTATCCAACATCATAATTAATAACTGAGTGGCGAATTTAAGATATAAAAGAAATTGATTAATTATATTGTCAGTAATTAAATTAAACAATGGACGTCAGACAAAAAAAAAATGCTCCTCCGTCTCTCTCTAGCTTTTCTCCTCCTCCTTCTCTCTAGCCCCTTCATTCCTCTTCTTTTTTTTTCCTCATTTTTTTTTCTGGTTATTTCCTTAGGTTCTCATTTTCAGTCTTCGGCGACCGTTGCCGTCGTCGGCCAGTTTTCAACCTCTCATTTTCTTTTTCTTTTTTCAATTTCTTTTTAGTCTTTCTTTTCGGTTCTTGTTTTTTAGGTTTTGTCTCAGTTCGGCAACCATGGACCTTGCTGTCGAGAGCTCAGCGAATGCTCAGTTGGAAGATTTTGGCCACCCGGGCGTTGCCTTTTCGCCGGCAGTAGGTAGTGTACTTGTCCTGTCGCTTGCAGCAGGTGGTGTGCTTGGTATTCACGGTAGAGCCAACGCCAGCCGTTCAGACCCTATTCGTCGTTCATGGAGCAAGCATTGGTCGGAGTAGGCGCTCGCGCGACCACTGTTCTTGCTTCTAGAGGAGCGGCCATTTCCAGTTTCAGGTCTTCTTCACTCGAGGAGAAGCTTGCTCGTGTTGCTGCCGTTTTTCTTGGCTTTGTTCCCAGAATTCGTTGCCTCGCCATTGTCGGCCGTTCCTCTTGGCGGTTTGCCACCACTGGACAACTCGCAGGTTGGTGTAACCCAGTCACCGCCTCCTCTGCGGCTTTTACTGGTCAACCTCTCAGCTCCCTCAACACCCATTTATACAAGGGCCACGTGGTAGGATTTTGTGAAGTGAAGGGTGACGTGGCAGTTTCCTCACCTAGTGTCCCTTTGGGCCACTTGGGCCACCAACCGGCCCAGCCTCCTATTGGACTTCAATCCTTAACCCTCCCTATTTCTTTTGATTCCTAGGGCTAATCTCTCCAACTCACCTTTTCTCTAGCCCACTCAACCCATATCCCAACCTCATCAACCCACTCTTTCTCACACACATCCCACCCCGCCTGAACCCAATCCCTTGTTCTTTCCCAACTTAGCCCATCTACCTGCCTTTTCCCAAGACTTCACTGTAGGGCCTTCATCAACGTCCGCCACCACTACCACTGCCCCTCCACCAACGGCTGCCACCACTTCCATGTCGCCGGCTGGCGGCCCCAACTCCGACGCCGACACCTGAATGCAGCAGCCCTCCGACGGGCAAGACCTTATTACAGCAGCTTTATTTTCAACGACCGCCACCGCAGCCACAGTCCCTCTGTCGACGGTTGCTGCCTCCACCATGTCGTCGGCCGAGAGCCCCAACTCCGGCGCCGGTGCTGGAATCTAGTAGGCCCGCGGCGGGCTTGTTTCGACAGCCGGAATCCTTAGGCCCAAGTTGTTTTACCCTTCGAGCCCCATTTTGCCAGCCTCTGGCACCTCTTTGACGACCGCCAGAATCCCTTTGACCGGTCTGCCTCCGACGGGCATCTCTCTAGGCCTTTCTTTGGCCCCCGTATCCTCTCTGACTCTTCCCGCGACATCTCCGATCACCACTTCCAGCGGTCCCCGTTCTTTTCGGGACATTGTTTGTTCCATTTTTGTTGTGTTTTTTGTTGTCTTTTTGCCTATCTTTTTCCTCCATATTAGGTCTTTTAGTTGGTTTTATAGTTTATTTCGTGGTTTCTTCTATTTTGGTCTTTCTTGTGTTATTCGGTATTTTTTCAATTTTTCTCGTCTTTGGTGTGCAGGATGGAAAGTTCGGGAGGATTCATTTTCCATGATAATTAAACTGGTTGAGTATGATTAAAGAGAGCATTTCATTGGCATTACACAGAAAAAAACGGAATCGAATTCCGATACCAGACGAGGCCGAACGACTCCGAAACGTGAAGTCCCAGGTCCAGCCCTAGGTCTCCGCGCCCCGCGCCGCGCCGCGGCACTCGTCACGGGTGTACTGAGACCCTCGTTCCAGCACCGCGCCGTGACCAACATCCTGCGCCGCGCCGCGATGCATGTCGCGACCTCGACAGAGACTCTTAGCTTCAGCCCTGTCGCGCCGTGAAGACCCCCGCACCGCGAAGCCAGCCCCTACCGCGCCGTGAAGACCTCTCCTGTTGCGCCGCGCCTACCTGTCGCGCCCCTACAGTACACGTACCAACCTCGCCCGCCACGCCGCGGCCACACCTTCGCGCCGCGGCAAACCACCTCCTCACGCCGCAGCCACACTTCCGCGCCGCAGCAACGCCCCGCCTCGCGCCACGCCAGAATTCCTCCATGCCGTGAGTCCCTGCACATATAAATATAAGATCGGACTGCGATAAATGTGCTCTCGACTCCAGAAGAGAAGACCTAGCCCGTTTCTCTTCCTCTTCGTCACTTTTCACTTTTCTTTTCATTCTTTTCATCTTAAAAAACAAATTGTTCGTGGATTTCATTGGGATTTCCTTCATTGCTTTGGATTTATGCCTGTTTATCAGATTCAACTTTGGGATTTTATCATTCGTAAGATTTTCTTTTCATTTAGCTTGATGAATATGAATTCTTGGGTTGATATAAATGCTTGTGTTGATTCAATTATGAGTAGCTAAATTCACATGCTAGGGAATAAGGGATTAATGTTTTGGATTCGTTTGTGATTGTTGGGATTCGTTGACCGTTCAATTTGTGCGAGTTGTTCTTAATTAGGGTTTCAATAATCGTACTTGAGAGTTGAGAACTAGTGAAGGATGACACTTCAATTTCCAGTTGTTTTACAATTGAATTTGATTCGGTCTTGCATGATATTGTTAATTCTAAACAGATTAGTTGATTAATCACCTTCTAGTCTGCTTTAATCGACTCTTAGAACCGAAAGGGGATGAGTCGGTCGAAATAAGCTCGTATAAACTAGGCTTGTTCGTAACTGTATTGCCTAGGTGTTAAATAAATCGTTAAATTTTCGTTTACGTTTGTCCTCTTGTTACGAAAAGTTATTGAGGACGAATCTCTGAACGAGGAGGTTACTTGATTCATTTAGCCGAATGATCACTTGCCTATTAATTGCAATTCGAACCAAAATGGATATCCCCGACTCCCAAGCTTCTTAAATCTTGCTTGTTCTACATGTTAATTTGCTATTTCAATTTGCTTAATTTAAATCTTAGTAGTTGATAATTAAAACCCAAATCAATCTTCTGAATTAGAATGTTTAGGAATTTTATCTCTTTTATTTGTGTTTGAATAAACGTGCATAATAATGTGGAAAGTCTTTTAAAAATCCGAAAATTAATAGCAATTCTTTAAACACGGCAATTTGAATTTTGATTCACGCCCCTATCTTTAAGCATCCAATTGTTACTCCTTATTTTAAGGATCACGCCCCTATCTTTAACAAACTAATTTGAAAAATTTTGATTCCATATTTAAAAAACCCAAAGATTTGAAATTGTGATTCCATGATTTACGTTGAAATATGAACTAACATTCCTACTAAAGGGCGTTTGTTACAACTCATCAAAATCAATTTAATATTTTATCAAATGATTTCCATATTTTACGTGTTAAGTTTGTTATGCAAATGTGTCGCGTGTATAAAAGGATGTTCATACGCCACTATTCTTCATCACTTCATTCACAACATTGCAAAGAAAATAATACAAACAAATACCAATATACACAAAAAAAAATGCCGCCATTCTTTGATAGAATCAACTCCGTCACCAGGTCCAACAAACCAAATTTGCTTCTGAGGGTAGTCCGACTTATTGAAACGCATCATGATCATGAGAGCTTGAACTGTTTCCATATCCTGTTTTATGATGAAGAGGTAATATTTTTTGATGTTATATAAAAAATACACAATTATAAAATTATTTTATTTAATTAATTTATATTAATTTTTATTGCAGGGTTCGTGCATTAAAGGCATAATACGCTCTCCGAATGTGGGATTGATGCGAGATGTATTGAAAGAAGGCGAGGTTTATGTGATACGCCGCTATAATGTTGAATTTAATAATGAGATGAAATTTGCTAGAATGCACCGATGGAAGCTTGTGCTACATGTAAGAACCGATGTAATCAAGTATAATGGATTTTTCCCTCATCACTAGCAAGGACAAAGAGATTTTGATATTTAGGTTTTTATAATATTTGGAGTTTTTAATTAATGATTTGTTACGGATTTGATGATATTTACCTATGCGATGTTATGAATAAATTTATTTTTCTTAATTATTCTTCGATTTCAATTTTTAATCTACAATATACGAATGGATCTCTGCACATTTCGTAGTAAACTATCTCATACACGAATTATCACTAATTTTGTTGATTATTAAAAAAAATGATGATAATTTCCCATTAATTTTTTATTTTACAGTACGAATTTTATTATACATCGAGTAAGTCAATATATTGAATATTATAATATACATTTTACTACATTTTATTTTCGCTACAAGGAAGTTTATATATTAAAACAAAATTCCGAGTAATGAAATAAAATGAATATAAATAATTGAGATATATATTGTAAGAACTTACCATAATAACTTCTTAATAAAACATCTCCCATAATATGTAAATTACAAAAAATGTACTTTAAAGTTTTGTAATGCACGGAACTTAGTATTAAATTTTGAATAATTACTATAATCAGTAAAATTTAGTATTAAATTTTGAATAATTAATATAATCCGTAAAATATTTCAAAGATCGTGCTAATGTAATTGAATGGATTTAATTGATATTACACTATATTAATATTATATTTAAAAACCAATTTATTGATTACCCAAATCGTCAATATTCTTAATTTAACGGATATATGCAAAAGGAGATTGCTAAAATATCTCTTTCCTTTTTAATTAAATATTAAAACCAAATATTTATTTTGTAAAACAGATATATGTGAAAGTGGCCATAAAACATGCAATACAAAATAGAATTGTGAATCTACACGAATTTTGGACACCTAACATAAAAAATCTGATTCACAAATAATTGATATTATATTATATTAGTAATTTCGAATTTTTTCAAACTCTATTACCACTATAAATAAATAATCAAAAAAACAAAAGACGCCTTCATTCAATCTGATCAATTTGTGAAAAAATTACTCTCGACTTTTAGCGTTAAAAGAAAAAAAGAAAAAAAGTCATGGAACAATATGGCTTGATCAGACAATTCAAAGAGAATATGATGAATATGAACTTCGTTCTTAAGCTTAGGGCCATTCGGATATTCAACAGAGCCTACCCAACCAATTTAGAGATGGTTTTTCACGATATGGAGGTTATTTTAGTGCATTAAATTTGTTTGGCTATTATTGATTAATTTTATATCTCAATAACATTTTTTCTTTGTTTGTTAGGGGAGCCGTATAACTGGCATTATTCGTGGTATGCCATATTTGCTGGAGCTTTTGAGGAGGGTGGAGTGTATTTAATAAGCAACTATTTACTAGACGTCAATGTTGATAAATTTCGATCTACTAATGGAGACTACAAAGTTGTAATCCATGGGGACATTGAGGTTCTTCAGTGTCTTTCTGATTTCCCTACATGGCCATTTGACTTCTATAGTTTTGCGAATTTTCATGATATTGATACCGTTGATGACTCAATTCTTTATGGTAAAAATTTTAAATTTTTTTAATCGAATTTTGGTGTAATTTTATTTTTTTATTATCTATATATTAATCTATATATTATTTAATAAAATGATATTTATTTTTTGTGATTATATTTTAGATGCTATTGGCATGGTGGTCGAGGTGCAACCCATACAATCAGAATGGTTTCATGAAAAAGAAAAGCAAAAGATAGTTTTTTCAATGATGGATTTGGAGTAAGTAATATTTATTACATGAATTAAACATTTATAACAATGTCGATTGATATCTAACATGTTATTATTTTTTCATTAAATAGTGGATTACTGATGCGTTGCACACTTTGGGGTGATTATGTTGATACGTTTATTGCTTATGAAAATCATTTTGAATCTGAGGCAAATGGAGAACCATGGGTTCTCATTATGCAATTGTGCAAGACAATACATGTGACAGGTATTTCAAATTTGCAATTTATTTATTTATCATTACCATATAAATTATGTTTGGCGAATATATTTTAAATTACATTTTAATAAATATGGTTTTTTAACAGGTGAATATCAATTGACTACATTCAAGAATGTCACGCGTCTTATTGT